CAACCTTCGTAATACATACTCACTTAGTATCACAATAAGTCTCTAACTTTTCCTTTAGGCATTTATCAAAATAAGTATCTCACTTTCATTATCGAAAATAAATCAATCCCAAAAGCAGTTACATTACACTTTAGAGACTGTTTGGTAGCACGAAAATCGACTGATTTGGCTGATTCTGCTGAAATTTATGAAGTTCGGGTTGAAGTGGCTGCATTGACTGATTCTGCTGATTCAAGAAAAAAAAAAATTAAACTATATTTTAGTAATAAAATAAAGAAAAAATTATACTCCGTATGTAAAAATAGCTAAAATGGTCATCTACAGTAACTTTAGCCAATACAGCCAGAGAAGTAACATCAACCTTACTTTTTCTGCTTATTACACAATTCAGCTCGTGAAAGCAAAAGTTACGTGTTTGGTGAAAAAGTTGGCTGATAAGCCTGATAAGCCGAAAAACAGTGGTTCCAAATAGCCTCTTAATAAAGTAAACAATACTGCTACAGTGCCAAAGAGCTCATATATTTTTTAAAAAAAATGTACATTAAACATACTCCCTCCGGTTTTTAATAAACTTCACACTTTTCTTTTTGGGACGGTCTAAAATAAATTTCACACTTCCTTATTTCCTTTTTTGGCAAAGAAATCTACATCCAAACAGTGTCAAACAGTGCCAAACAGTGTCTCAACAGTGCCAACAGTGTCAAACAGTGCCTCAACAGTGTACTCTACAGTAAAGTCAAATTTCATTCATTATTTTGTGTAAAGTCAAAGTGTGAAGATTAAATAAAACCGGAGGGAGTATAAGTTATCTTAAAATACGTGAAAAGGACACTTTTTTTTAATTCGGATGGAGTAACATCCACCGAATAAGAATGAATATTACGTTTGCAAGGAAAAGAAGAAATATTATGGCCATGTTTGGTAAATGGCGTTTCAGCCAAATTTAGGCGGATTTGATCAAAAATGGCGTTTTTAACTGGTCAAACCGCTGAAAATAGGTGTTTGGGAAATGGCGGGTTACTTTGACGTATTGGCCTAAACCGCTGAAAATTAAAACGCTGATAAGAGGAGCATTTAGAGATCAGCGATTAGGGAAATATTATCAATTCTCACCATACCCTTCCGTATTCTTCTTCTTCCATACTCCGCACACTCTCAAGCAAAAGTCGTCAGGCAGACCTTTCCCTCTCGCAAGCAGAGGCGGAGCCAAGTGTTGACTTATGGTGTCAAATGACACCACTCAAAATATATATTTATTGTATATATATATGTATATGTAGAATGAAAATGTTAAAATGGTCACTAGTTTTTTCATAAACAAGGTCAATATATAAAACACATTCCCGGACTCCCCCTATTTCCAAGTTTTTCATGTATGATTGAAAGAATGATGTTGATGATATGAAACTAGAAAGTAAAACAATAATATGATACTCATATTTTCGAATTTACAGTATTTGTAATCTTAGAGCCCATTGGGTAGCATTGAAATTGGCTGAATCAGCTAGTTCTACTCAATTTTATGAAGTTCTTAATCAAGTGGCTAGATTAGCTGCTTCTGCTACATAGTGAAAAAAATTATATATAAAATATATTTTATTACTAAAAATAAAGAAAATTTTATATGAAAAATAGCTAAAGTTGTCATCTACAGTAACTTCGGTCATAAAAGTAATTTCTAATTTCAATTTTACTTATTTTGATTATTGCACAATTTAGACTGCAAAATCAAAAGTTACGTATGTAGTGAAAAAGTTGGTTGATAAGCCGAAAAACGGATCACCAAACGGACTTTTACTTAAGGTAATTTTCATTGTTATATTACTTTGCCACCACTCATACTACATCCTGGCTCCGCCCCTGCTCGCAAGGCCTTCTTCGCCTCTCTAAAGAAAAGAATCACCAGGCCAGGTAGGTATTTATAAACCTTCCCTATTTATGCCATGATTTCAAAAACAAAAGTGGGTATGGGCAACTGGCCATGATTGCCACAAAGCTATACTGCGTATATTGCATACCAAAAATCATTTTCTTTTCTCACACTGCACCTTCAATTCCATATTTTATTTTATTATGTAGTATAAATTAAATGTAGTTCAAAACAAAGAGCATATACGGAATAGTGAAAGAATGATGATTTTTGAGTCCCTGATTACAGTTGTGGTTGCTCATGCTTTTGGTTTTTATTTTAAAACCCTGTTTTTTTTGTTTCTTCTTAAATACGTAGTAAAAATTATGTACGAAGTATATGATTCGAATATGTTTTTTTGTGCTAACATCATATGTAGTATTAAACAAAAAAAAAAATTAAATGTGCTAATGTCCTTTTTTGTCTTTTTATCTATTAACTGCTAAAAGCAAACAGTTAAGTTACCGAACATCTTTCTGTAATCCGCCAAACTGATACGCCGGTCAAACCCGCCGACTCAATCCGCTGTTTAGAACCCGCTGACTCAATCCGCTAACCGCTAACCGCTAACCGCCGATTGTCAAACATGCCCTATGACTGGCCCCCAACCAATAATAAAACTATAGAGTTAGAGTCTTACGGTGTAACTCACCTTGTAGTAAAGAATTGTGTGATCAAAACTCAATTTACATCTTCTTAATTGTGTGACCGATTCTAAAAGGTTTTAGAATAGATCATGCCAGATCTCGATAGTTGTAAAATATATGCACATACACAAAACATCTACCTGACCAGACTAGATTAATACATATCAGACCAGACTAGATAAATACAGATCAGACCAGACTTAAGCTTAACGCATCAGACCAGAATATTACAATCCAATTATACCGCATTAGTTTGATGCATTTTTTAAACACTCAAAATTTAAGAGGGCTTGGACTTTTGGCGTACTAAGCCTTGCATTCACTCCGTGTTTGCATCGTGGAGACAGCATTTGGTAAGGGTACCATCAGTTTTTGGCTTAGCTAGCTAGCTTACTAATAATATACGGAGTATATGCATCATCAAAGTTTAGCGATGGGGATGGGAGAGAGGCAGAGAGCGGGTGAATAAAAATTTTAGGATTCTATTGTCCAGATAATAAATAATCCTAATAATAATCAAACGGAAAGAAAGATTCGAGACTTCGAGTACAAATCACAAACAAAAGCAAAATAATAATGTTCTTTTTAAAGAGATCTGGTTATGGAAAAGCGAATTCAACATACTACACGACTATTGCAGTGCTGCCTGCCTAGCATAAATTGAGTGTACTCGTTTAGATTACATAACCTTAGACGGCAAATTACATAAATACTCCTTTCGGTCTTGGGAAGATACTTTCTTTTGGACTGTTTTCAATTCCGGATTAGACCAGATTAAATCAGATTAGACTAGATCAGACTTTTGTAGTTATAAAATATACATAGATCAAATGTTTATCAGACCAGACCAATTCAGATCAAACCAAACCAGACCAGCAAATTTCAGTCCAAAAGAAAACATCCTTAAACAAAGTCATATCATAATGTAACAAATAATATGATATTCAAATAAACTGAATTGATCAGATTTAAAACAAACTTAGTGCGATTGAAAACATCTTTAATATTGGTGCTGATGTTTGTAATTCATTCGACTTAAAGTGTAACGAAATAAAGCTATCTTAAACTACTACTTTTTTTTGGGAGAAAAAACTACTACTTTTATGAGGTTAACTTTTTTAATATGAATTTGAAGTCTTAATTAATATTACTTACGTCCCAACCATTGTGACATGTGGGGTTAAGTGAATATATGTTGATATTCAATTTAGAAAGTTTACCAAATTTAGTATGACACAATCTAAATGAGACGGATCAAAAAAGAAATATGAGACAATCTTAGCGAGACAGAAGAGTATAAGGCCCTGTTTGGTTGAGTCGAGTTTGATAATAGTTTGGTTGTTTATGAGATGTAATTTTATCTAGTCCATTTTACGGAGTATTAGTTGTTTGTTTGGTCCACTTTATGTTGAAAGAATTGTGAAAATGGCTATTTTTCAAACACGTGGTTAGCATTTTTAAAATAATTTGAATTAAAAATTTCTTTCAACAAGGTTTAATTTTCTTCTCCATTTAATCCTATACTAGTCTCCATTTAAATACGGCAGCTATATCACTAGTTATACAGTTGGATTGTATGGTATAGCCAATGCAATTCTTTGATTCACAACATCTCATACTAGAATCAATAGCAGGAACTGCAAGTAATTAATCATCCATCATATTTCTCTAGCTCGGACAGATGAAGTGTGCAAGAAATTGCACAAATGTTCATTGAGCGAAAGGCTAAAACAAGCACAAACTGTAAGTGGAAAATACAGCTAAGAGATTTTCTTTTCCTTTAATTAACCTGTTTTCCCTCTTAAACACATCAGTCTAGGAAATGTTCCATTACATCTGAGCACATTCCTGCAGCTTCATCACCTCTATACTCTGCCATGGGATGCAAATCCAGTGAAGTTGAGGATGAGGACGAAACCATTCGGGCAGGCAGCGTATAGCTCCTCTTGAACTTATTATTCTCGAGATGGCGAACACGATGTGGTGATGGGTTGTAATGGCAGTCCAAGCTAAGGAATTCGTTGTGATGGCTCTGGTCCATCCTGTTTTCAGGATTGAATAGGAGCCTACCAGGGGAATCGTCATCTGCTCGTCCCCCCGCAAGAGCACTGAAGAAGCTCAGACCATTAGGCCACTTGATGTCATTCGCTTGGTCTCTTATCATGCCTTCCATTCGAGGTTCTGATGATGAATGGGGAAGGAGAAACATGTGGGAGGATGACGAATCGTCTTTGGATGGTGGAATTCCAAGATTGACCGAGTTCTGGAAGCTCGGAGAAGACAAGACTGAGGGTGTTGAAGACATTGACCAGTTGAAGGGTGGAGGCAGGGGGCGGTTAGGTTGCTTCAGAGTTGATGAAGAGTGTGGCGTGGCGTTCCGGGTTGAAGAAAAGAGCTGGGAGAGATAGAAGCCAGACTGGTAGCCTAGTGACTCAAAGGTGTGTCTCATTCTCAGCACAAAATGCAAATCTTCTGGTATCTAAACATTAAACAAGTAAGATTATATGTGTGTGAATACATTCTCCATGTATGATCAAATCAGATATCCTTAAGACTTTGTTTAGATCACGGGAAAATGCTAGAGAAATGAAAGAAAATGGTAAGGAAAGAGCTTTTCTTGTGTTTGAACGTAGCTTAAGAAATGCAAAGGGAAATGGAATATGAAATGTTTTTAAAACTCTTACAAATATTTACTGTTTAGTAATTATACATTTTCCTTTTCACTTCACCTCAAAAATATATATTAACTTCTAAGGAAAACATTATATAATCCGTATGCTTTCTTTCTTTAAACAAATTTCAATCACACAATTTCTACTTTTTTTTAATATTTTCCTATTAAATCGGGGGGATTAATAAGGGACTGAGAGAGAACACATATGGATTGAATAAAAATGAACTGGAACAAATATTAAAGGCAAATTTATTGAATTTGAAATAGTAATTTTCTTTCCCAATCATTTTCGATTTCCAATCAGATCCATAATATTTTATACAGAAGCAAACAGGTTAATAGATGTGAACTCTAGCTTCACAACTATGTGTCTTGGAAATATTCTTCACATTATTTCCCAAAATAATAGAAGAAAATATAAAAAATTACTACTCCAAGAGCCCAATTGCACAACTATGTGTCTTGGAGTATTAGTTTATCTATTAGAACACAAAATGAATTGAGGGAACAGAACTCACAATCTTGCAAGAGCCCAATTGCAGTAAGCCATGACCAGCTTGAATTACTGCAATAGTCTGGATAACAAGATCAACAAATGAAAGATTGGAAAAAGTTAAAAAATAATCAACAATAAGACAAATAAAGGTGTGAAAACCAACTAGTACTCACTACAGAAAAAAAAATGAGGGTGGAAGAAAGTCTGACCTGAATGCCTGACTCAAACTGATCTGACCACTCTTGCGGAAGCTGCAGGGAAGAAGGAACTCATCAGCAATCATTCATTCTTTAAAAAAACATGTTCAAGATTGGCAGCAATAATTCTTGAAAATGATAAAAACAAAGATTCCCCCTCTTTGTCACTTTCCTCAACCAGACCTCAAGCAAACATTGAGGGCAAGATGGTAATAAAATGAAGAAGAATAAGAAGAAATAAACAAGCAAATGAACTCTTTTATTTTGTGTGTGTGTGTGTGTGTGTGTGTGTTGGTATTTACAGCATCAAAAGAGCTCTGCCAGTAGTTGGAGATGTTTGGTTCACACTCTGTAGGCTCCTTGAACACCCATTTATGGCACTTATCAGATGCAACTTTCCCCATTAACCTGCAAAAAAATTTAACAACACACTTAGCTATACCAAACATAGCTCCCTTCCAAAAATATCCAGTAGAGAGAGAGTGTGTGAGAGAGGAGGGCAGGGAGGGTTTTGAGAATCCAATACCACCAAATCACCTACCCAGTACCCACCCTTCTCCATAATTATATAACTGAATGGACATCTTGCTGAAGGCCTTCCTGACCAGGTCCTCCCCTTCCATGTCCCCCATACACTCTGCAACTCTCCCTCTGCAGAACCCATCTTCCCACATCAGCATCCTGCACCATATTTCCCAACAACAGAAAAAAACAAGAAAAATGAGATCAAGCTAGCATCTTTATGGTTGAAATCAGATGGACACAGTAGTGTATCAATAAGGGTGGGAGAGAAAGAGTGAACAACAGAAGAAAAAAAAAACAAGAAAAATATGATAAAGCTAGCATTTTTATGGATGAAATCAGATGGAGACAGTAATTTATCAGTAAGGGTAGGAGAGAAAGAGTGAACAACAGAAAAAAAAAAAAAAAAAAAAAAAAAAAAACAAGAAACACGAGATAAAGCTAGCATTTTTATGGCTGAAATCAGATGGAGACAGTAATTTATCACTCAGGATGGGGAAGAAACTGAGAAAGAGTGAAGAACTGAACATACAAGCTACCACTCTCATCTCCAACTTTGCAGCCATTGCCGCCGCGGACCCGCCTGCAAGAAAACACAGGAAAGTTGATGGAGAGAAGAAAGAAAGGAAGGGGGGGGAGACAGAAAGGGAGAGGGACAAACGGGCGAGGGCGAATGGTCCAGAAGACTGAGTAAGTCCAGTCTGAAGAGGTGAGACAAACGCTTCTGAGGGCCTCATGAAGGGCCATCATCCCAACCGCTTCTTTGCTTCTCTCTGTTGCAGCTGCTCCAGATGAGCCCACCATCTCTTTCTGCCTTTTCCCCTCTCTCTCTATCTCTATCTGCCTTTCTTGCTCCAAGTAAGGCCCTTTTGCTTCCCTTCTGCTACTTCTATGGAGCAACATATACAATAATACTATTCCTCTCGTGTTGTGAAATGCTAAAAAAATCTGCTGTGCTTTTTATCTTTTTCTCAGTCTCGGCCGCACCCAACAACTACTACACCAATGTGATGCTTGGGAAACAGAGGGCAATTCTTTTGTTACATAGGCTTTCTTGGTTTCTCTCTCCCACCCCACCCAGCTAAAAGTCCAGGATTGCTTTTGCTGTTAACTTTATTGTTTTTTATTACCGTATTCACTATCAGATAAGCCAAACCGATGGCCCCTCTGGTACGGCTAACAAATCACGGAATCACCTAAAATTCTTCGGACCGAAACAGTGGATTGGTGTACTTTTTATTGATAAAAAAACACCTTAAATGAAATTTAACAGGTTCATGAATCAAATAAAAATTGCCCCGCCCCAAGTATAGAACCATTATTTTTATGAAAATATGGAGTAATACTTACTCCCTCCGTCCCCTTTTAAATGTCCTGGAGGAGGGTGGCACAAGTTTTAAGAAAAGTGAGTTTGTGTGGTTGATATTAATTGATAAAGTACGAATAAAGTCAGAATGATTTTGAGCCACACAAATTTTACCAAATAAGGTATGAGACAATTAAATAGGGACATCCCAATATGGTAAAACGGGACATTTAAAAGGGGACGGAGGGAGTACTACTTACTCTTCCCTTTGTCCCATAAAAGAAAAAGTATTTGTCAAATTTCCTTATTCAAGCATCTTAAAAATGTTTATCAATTCCATTTAAAGTAAGTAATGAATGTTTAAAGTTATTTTTGTTTTCCTACACAAATTTCAACTTCACGATTTTTACTTTGCTATTTAACATGCAAATCAAAGTTGGTCAAGTTTTATGAGACAAAGAAAGTATAACATTATTTTTTTTATAAATATAACCTTCAAAAAAGTACTATGTATTCCGTATTATTTATTCTTATAGTCATACTGTATCTCTGCTGATAATGTCCTATAGATAGTGGCGGACCCACCTTGTGTCACACAGGGGCCCGAGACTCCACAAACTTTTAAAAAATACCTATATATATATATATATATATATATATATATATTATGTATGATTTTTTTTAGACATTCTTCTGAACCTATTATAGTATCTGCTCTAGTTAATGTCAACATCCTTGATTGGGATGAGATTCGAACCTGCGACCTCCTCCTTGAGAAATCAGCAGTGATGTCATCAGACCACAAGGTACTTAGCATGTATGATTTATATAAAATTGACCAATTAATGAATATATATTACAAATGCTTGTATAATATTCGCACAGGTGGCTCAGTTGGTTGAGTTGGTGAAAAATTGGATAAATGATCAAGGTTTAAAACCCGCAGCGATCATGTGGATGTTACAGCCCCTGCATGTTAGGTTAGACCTCTAGTGCGTACAAGTATAAGACCTATCACCATTGGACCGACTGAATCACCGTGATTTACATTCTCCCATATGCCTTGTCGGATCGGTGCGTGGGGGGGGCTTGGGGTTGGTATTCAACCTTTTGAAGGAACAAATGCTTGTATAACGGTTATATAATAGAGTGTAACAGTGGTCGCACACGCGTCATTAAAACTTCCCTACTCGCGAGGTCTAAGGTAGACAAAACTAGTATTAGAAAGCGAAAGGCATAGGTTAGAAATAAGACTAAAATGAGGCTATTTATAGTAGTCTTAAATGTGAAGCGCATATTAAATGTTATTACATGTGTGATAATTTATGGGGGAAGGTTGACCATGTAAGAATGGGAGACATGTGGTGACACTGATGTCCGAACTGTTAACCAAGGGGCTTATCGCCCTCGTCTATGTGTTGGTGATGGAGTCCACTAGTGTCTTTATCTTGTGAGTGAAGATGTGTCTTCCTTAGTTTGGTCAGGGGTGCATGAACAAAGGGATGATGAACGAATGCAATCCACACTTCTTACTTGATTCTAGTGTGGATAGATAATATATTATCTGAATTGTTCTGAACGGTGGTATCCTCGTCTCCCCGAGGGGCCTAGCTGAAAACAATGAAATATAATTGTTACACCATATATATTCAAATAATTGTTACTCTTTGGTTTGGTCGCCGTGATTTTTATTGGTAAGACCATGACTAGTTTTCTTCTCTTTAACATACGTTGCTACGTCGTTATTTTGTTTGTCTAAGCTGCCAACTCAATTGGCAATTTTTTAAGCCGCCAACTCAATTGGCAGTTTTTCAACTGGGGTTCACATCAACTGTATTTTAGAATATACTTTTAATTTGACTCTGATTTCATAAGTATTTTGTATTTAGCGTTATTTAGGGGACTCACAGATTTAGATTTTAAGTGTCTAAAGCTTTAGATGGTAGTTTACACTTGAGAATTAGAGTAGAAAATGATGATGCTTGAATCATTCAAACAAAACAGAAGATGAATGAGAGAGTTGGGAAGGTGATGGCGTGCAAGTGTGCGTATGCAAGCGTGCGACGGTGCGGGAAGGATGTTCGACGAGGGGACAAATTCTATTCATCCATCGCACAAAACGGGGAGGATTGCTCGGAAACGGAATACTAAAAATATATACTTAAAAAAAAAAAGCCTAGAGAGTAAGGGACCCGACGCCTAAATTGACCACCTTGTCCTTTCAATGTCCTCTTACTCTTGTTTTCTTGCTGACCATGGTCCGCGCAATCAGGGGATCACAAAATCAAAGTTCGGCGGTTTCTTAATTGAAAACCCCAAATTGTGGATCCAACATTGCTTCATTTATTTAGGATTCCTTTGGGCTTTAGCATTCTGTTTCTCTGTCACAGGCTTTAGCAGTAGTTTTCCTTTTTTTTCCACTAAAAATTTGGGTTTTTTTGCGAGAAAATATTTGGTTATTTTTCACTCAATTGTGTGATACGAAGTAACAATAATAAAATTAAGATTTGATATAGCGTGTTGAATTGTTTAATAATAAAATATGTGAAGTTGAAGTTACTTGTCCATATCAAATACATAGTAGCTGAAATGGCTGAAACCGTTTTTCATATAATTTTTTCATTACCTTAGTAATAAAAAAATCAAATACTTCATTCATTCGTTTTTTGTTGCAGCATTCCTATTGTTGCGCTTGTCAACGCACAACTATTATAGTCATTATATTTAGTTCTCTAAAAATAAAATACTACCTCCGGTATTTTTTAATCTTCACAGTTTGACTTCACACAAAATAAGGAAAGAAATTTGACTTTACTGTAGAGTACACTTGATAGAGTATATGGGCCTGGACCCCATGGCCCCACATACTCAAGTCAACGACGACCAGAAGAACACCCACGTGGCCCCCATCGGCCAGCAGGCCCGCATCGGCCAGAAACCAAACCGGCCCAGAAAGCGCGCATGAACTCCCGGGACCGCATCGGCCCATGGACCGCATCGGCCATGGGGCCGCATCGGCCAAAGACACCGCATCGGCCAGACTTCGGCCGGGCAGAAAGCATCTCTCTACTTTATTTTACTAAGTATTGTACACAGCCCATTAGTGGCCCTATTTCGCCCAAAGAAGGCATGATTATTGTAATGGGCCTCCTAAGCCCATGGCTAGGAGCCCAAATCCACATTTTTTCCTATAAATAGACCCCTTGGGGCTAGTTATAGGGGGTTGAGAAATATAATTACTCACTTTCTCTCTCTAGCTCTCACTTCTCTCTAGAATTAATACTCTATCATTTGGTGCTTTCATTGAGAGTTAGAACAGATCAAGTGAGTACCCCTCGTCGCTACCAGACGCAACAGAATGACAAGAACCAGGTCAAAGAACACCGGAAGGAATGCCCCTCTGAACCAGGAAGGGCAGGGAAACGTTGCTGACAACGTCCCCAATGACCTCATCATTCAGGACGAGAACGCTCAGGAGGTCGAGCTCGCAGCGGCCGACCTTCGCACCCAGCTCAACAAGACTGCCCCAGACGCCCGCATCGGGCTCGAGGACAAGCGCAATGCTGATCGCGCTTCGGGCCAGCAGGCTTCTCACCCTGCTGCCCCCCAGATCAACCCGGCCGCACTATCGGCCATCGTCGCAAGTATTCTCCAGGACCCCAACGTCGTCAGCGCCCTCGTCGCAAAGACAGGGGAGAACAACACTCCCGTGACTGGGGAAGTCGCGACGGTGCCACCACCCCCGCCTCGGCCACAAGGCGTCACCTTCTTCGGCAACAACGAAGATGTCCTCGCCGTGGACACCCATTCCCATACTGCCTCGCCTACCCGGGATACACCGGCCCAACCTCGCGGTAAAATCTCAGCATTCAACAGGCTGGGTGACATCGCGAGTCGCCGGGTACCTACGGGAAGGGTGGCGGATCGGTTGGGTGCCCGCGAGCCGGGATCGCCGAAGGAAAGCTTCGGGTCCGTGTCCCGGACAACGGACCGGCCCCGGCCAGACAAAGGAAAATGAAAGCTGGTTGATGACGATGCGCGCCACCAAATCAACCTCGCGCACGCGGCCCGGATCCAGACCCCTCTGGGCAGCGCCACGGCCAACACAGACCCAAGGGATGAGATCATCGCCCGCTTGGAGAAGCGCCTCGCTGACATGGAGGCCCGAGAGGCCGCAGGGCACACATCGGCTCACACATCCCAGCATCCCAACTACGACGCGCTCCTGAGCAAGGTCAGTGCTCTGGAAAGGGAGTTGGCTGACCGGCGCGATGAGCCCGTCATCCAGATACGGACCAGAACCCCCTTCTCTGCGAGGGTGCTCTCCGCTCCCATCCCGGAGAAGTATAAGGGGAACCCGATCAAGCCATATGACGGCCGCACTGATCCCCAGGAGCACTTCACCCGTTATCAGAACAATATGATGATGACCAACGCTTCGGAGGAGTACATGTGTCGCTGGTTCCTATCCACCTTGGAAGGACCAGCGTACGATTGGTTCAACAACCTTCCGGAGGGGAGCATCGACTCATGGCAGGATCTTGCTCAACGCTTCCTCACCCACTTTGCCGGAAGGAAGCGCGCGAAGAAGCATTTCGCTCATCTCCTGACCATCAAGCAACAATCGGAGGAGACGCTCCGAGCCTTCCTCGATCGCTGGACGAGGGAGGCGGACGAATGCGAAGGAGCCGATGAACGCACCCTCCTGGCCTTCCTCCGCGGAGCACTCCGGCCGAGCCACTTCGCCCGGAGCCTGTTCACGGAGCCGCCGCGGTCATACCTCGCGGCGCTCCGACGCG